AATACCTAGGACTTAAAACGGGGTAAAATACAAACGTAGGAAAGCATTTGACAAGGTACCTCATAAAAGGCTTGTAAAAAATTAGGTGTGGGGGATAAGTTAGATAATTGGATAGAAGGGTGATTGGGTGGAAAAAGCAGAGGGTCATAATATAAATGGAGTTCAGCCTTAGTTTAGTTAGGGCTAAACGTTACCGTACTTAATACTATCAATAACTAAACGTATAATGTTATTCTTTGACCTAACGCTAGACCTTTTTAAAAACTTAAATAAGATTTAATATGTGTTTACAAAATGTCTACTAAAGTATATTTACATCTGTTAAAATGAAGTTCGCGCGCAAGCGTATTTAGATAATAAAGATGAACGCGCATTTTCAGGACACGAAAACCAAGTCCTGTATAAATTATAATAGATTTTGACGTTAGTGTTGTTCGTTAGAGAGAATTTTGATGTGACGTCTGGAATTTCCATGCGGGTTTGAGAAAAAGTTGTATAAAACGAATGTTAGACTGTTGTAGCATAAATGAAACCGATAAAACCAACTTAGTTCACACCGTTACAGTTGTCCTTTATCGAGTGACTTGCTATTAGTTTGTTTGTTTGAAGTTAAGCACAAAGCTACACAATGGGCTATATGTGCACTGCTCACCACGGGTATCGAAACCCGGATTTTAGCGTTGTAAGTCCGCAGACATACTGCTGTGCCACGGGGGGCCTTGCTATTGGTACTAGCAGTACAAATAGCGTCTCAACCACTACTATGTATATTAAAATAAAAAATAAGAAACCCTATAACCGAGTGCTTTTAAAAGGCAGACTTTTTTTCATCAAGAAATGACGAACTTAGAAATTCTCAGTTTTATTGAAGGTCGTGTTCTTGTTGTGAGAAGAGTACTTTTATTTAAAATTGTGGTCTGTAATAAAGAAATGGTTGTTGCACATACCACAGTCATTTTCTAATTGTTTGAATCTCGAATACCCAAATTGTGAATTTTTATATGGATTTTTTGTTTATGATGCTATTCAATAGATGGCGCAGGAGTTGTGGTTACGTACATGGATACTGACATACATGCTATGACTATTATAGTTAGATAATAAACTTGTACCTGATGATGACAAAACATTGTCGAAACGTTGTACATTTGCTGTTATGTTAAACCTATATTAAAGTTTTTCTTCATTACCCATTCAAGCCGTCTCCAGCCATTATTAGTCTCAAAATGGGTTCCTCGTCACCGAATTATAGTTAGATGTTTTCAACCTATTTGTTTTTCTAACATCGTGAACTGCTATGTTTATCGTATTCCAGCTAGCCTGAAGAACCATGTTATTGGGTAAAGGGCCTTGTCGTCACTGTTATATAGTGTGGTTAATATATTATTGTACAATATTTATGTTTGTTTATTTTTTTTTAGTCAATTGTAACTCGCCATACAGTAACCGAAATTAATTTAGGTGTGTGAGTAATAGATGCCATTTCCGTCTAATTTATTATTAGATGTTAAATTGCGAACCAACTGCTTAATGATTATGTTACAGATTATATTTATTTGTACTAAAGGTAAAATTGAAAATATAACCTATAACGTAGAGACTAGACATGCCTTGATTCGCCATACCCTCTGCTGTTGACCATTTATTCAAGGCTCAAGAAATACAGTTAGGCCTTGTATAATAGTGATGTATGTACAATATATTGGGTTTTTGAGACCTTTGTAATTCACCATATAGTAAACTAAATTAATTTATAGATTTCTTTCATTTTTCACCAAGAGAAAAATTAAAGATATAATATGTTCTTTACTTTAACTCGGAGGTTCCTATTGTTACGTCTCCGTTTGTTAATTAACTTTCCGTAACTTTGTTCCGACGAAACTTAAGCGACACAAGTCTTTACTTAATAAAACTGGTTTATTCTTTCCGAATATAACTTTACGATACACTTATTTCAATATTCGCGTTAAAACAAACACTATAACGAACGAACGTTAACTTCAACAATACCCTGTGACTGCAGTTCAATTACTTACTATCTACCCACACATTACCACCCCTCCCGCGTCACGTTTTCCCCTCTTATATATACCCGCCTACCCTATCTAGTAAATAC